AATTTAGCTACGCTCAGTTTGACAAACGCCTGGTTTAAATAACTACTTTATTACTAAATTTTTAAAAACTTAAATTTATCGACATATAAATCCCTCCAGTGGAATGTAAATCACCCTGCGTAAAGTTTTGAATTGTAAAAAGCATTTTTTTTAACCCCTCCAGTAAAAAAGAATTCCCTCCGGTGGTCTCCAGTGGAGTCAAAATCTTACTGCGAACTTCCGTGACTCGTAATTGAGAACTATACTAACACAGAACATTGATGATTCCTCGCTAATATCTAGGCTACATAAAATAGGTTATTGAGGAGAAAAGTTTACATAGATTAAATAAAAATATTTTACATCAAAATCGTTTACATATACTTTGAGAGAGTTATGTAGAATTAAATTTGCGAGTACATTTTTAGGGAAAAATTGGTATCGAGGCTATATAGACTATGTAAAAACACACAAATTGAGAGTTTTACCAACGAAGTACATTGATGGTTCTTCGTTGATATCCAGGCAAAAATGAAAATAATTTGCTAAATTGTTTTGCTATTACCAACTTATCCCCTTTTCGTTGATAAAAACAAACATTAAAAAAACCTAAAAATCCAGAGATAGAAACTGATTCTTCACCTAAATAGTTAAATGAAAAGAAGAGTGGCATATTGTTGTTCTCTGCTGGAAGTTTGAAGACAAGTGGAGAAATAATTACAGAGAAAACAGAGACGGAGAGAGACGTCAGAGAAAAGAGAGACGTTACTCGTATACATCTAGAATAAAGAGCACACCTTACCAATTGTTATTTTGTCTATTTTGACTTGTTATAGCCCTGACAAGAGCTGGAGAAATATGTAAATTAAAGTTAGGTTTTGTGGATTTCTTAGCAAATTAGCTAAGCCAACTAATTCTGGAAATAAGCTCTCAAGATAAATAAAGATTGATTGATGCATATTTTTCCCGAATATTATCAGGATATTTTTGAGCTTACTGTTCCATTGGAAACAAATATCAAAAATGCCAACACTCAAAAGATGACCAAGTATGAACATTTTATCACAGATATAACAACTAGAGATGTTCACCCTTTTGAAATCGGCTCAAGAGGATATATCTCACCATCAAATAAGGCGATTCTAAAGAAACTGCATAAGTTCTGCAAACCCAGTGTTAGTTACAAAGCAATGTGCGAAAATCTATCAAACCTTGCAGTGCTGTCACTAGACTGGGACCAAGAAACTCCATTTCTGAAAACCACCTCTGAATAGCTAAACTATACTTATGCTAAAAGTCTTGTATTTCACCTGTTTTTTGGCAAACCCTGTCAATTATAAAATGCGATATCCAGAGAAAAGATTATTAGTTTGTAAACTTTTATATTGTTTAATGTAATTTTGCTTTAGACAAATATACGTGATGAATATACCCCGAATACTATCAGGTAACGTGAACATAAACTTACTATCCAAAACAATTTAACTTTTAAAAAACATTAGTGTGTCTAAAGTGGCACATAAAATAAGGTAGCAAAGTTTATG